GTGCATATATTGCATTTCCCTGGATATATAAATGATGCAATAATATCTGTAACAACTTAAAGAGGAGTTGTGTAGCAGTTTAATATTACGATTACTTTTTAGAAGTTGAAGTACTTATTTTGTTTTCCTTTCGAAAATTCTGACGGCACAAAGAGTCGAAACAATTTTGTTTTGTAATAACAGTTAGCAAAAGTGTATGGCTTTTGATTTAATAGAAAATGTAATGAAATCATCATTTATATTAAATTTTATTACTTATTACGATTTTTTTTTTTTTGAAAAAAATAACGAAAACAAAGAACTTTATAAGGCAGTTTCATGCTTATAAGGCATAGATAGCTAAGGCACTTTTGCTAAGTGAAAAAAAATATTCATTTTGTCAAAACGTTTGCAATGCAAAGCATGAAATAGCATCCAATTTTTGGATAGATTTAAGCATATCCATCCGTCCGTCTGTCCGTCTTTGTGATCTCTGTTGTAAGCGTTCTCCTAGCTTGAACGGTACCGGTTTTCAAATTTAACGAAAACATTGAAAGCCCTTGCCCTCAGTTTGATATTGGAAATGGGTTAAATCGGTCAAAGGACACGCTCGCAGTATTACATAAAATGGGGACACCTATATAGTTTTCGAAAGGAATAAAAAACTGTTTTTTTCGATCTTTCGAAGCATGTTCTATGCACGATTTTATACTCCCTGTAGAAAAATGGAAAAAAATTGACCAAGTCTACCCAATATAAAAGTGTATCAAAATCTTATAGTTTTTTCAATAGGTTTACAAAGCGCAAAAACACGCTTCAAACAACCGATAAATTATACAAATGCTTGGCCAATTTTATATTTGGAATGCACTGAAACATGTCCCTTTGTTCGTCTGTCCATCTGTCCATCTCTGCATGTACACTACAAATTCGGTTTAAACCTTTCCAAGAACATACATGCAACGACCACACGCCTATGCGACAAACTTTACAAACAAAATTACTAATTAATTACTAATTAATATTTTTGATTTCAAGCCAGATAGGTCACTTAGGAGATGACAAAGCATACTTAGCGGACATATCGTCGGCTTCCGCAACTTTCATTATGAACGACATGAAGTCAGAATAGTTTGAGAGCTTATTAGGAAAAAAATTAAAGAAAAAACTGATGAAAAAAATCGATAGTATTATCATCCACGCTACTCGCAGTTTAACCATAACCTTGTTCTACCTGTATATTCAATCAACGTCAAGAAAATCAAGATCGAAACATTTGGAAAAACCCAACTTGTTTATACCATTGCAACGCATCAATGGATCCTCAACCTGTGGACATCTTGAAAATATCTTAAGAACTACTCAAAAAAAAAAAAAAAAAGAGAAAGAGCAGATAGTCTTAGTTGCTAGTGCTCTTCCTGCTTTCCTAGAATTCATTCTTTTGATCCACTATTTTAAAGTGTCATCTTTACTTTTCGCTGCGTTGAAATTTAAAGGAAAAGAAACTGGCTTTAGTGTATCCTTTTCTTGATTTTGTGATTGTTTTGGAAATTTTCCTTAAAGTGCTTGACTTTTTTATTAGAAAATCAAATCGAACTTGGTTTTGGGATTGATATATTTTGGGAATTCATTATCTGTATCTACTGTGGCTCTAATTACTAACAACTTTAGTGGCAAAGCATTTAATAAAATCATAGTAAGCAGATCTTCATGCGTTTTCATTGACATTGGCATAGTCTTTATCACTCTTATCAGCTTGGGTTAAACTGCATAGCGGTTACGATATTAGCTCTTGCATCCATGCCACTGCCTGTGTATTTTACATCTTTTTTATGTACCTTTTTTCTTTTAGGTTTCGTAACTACACATATGTAAATTATTTGGGATTTTATTTTCTTATCCAAGGTCATTTTCTAATACTCATTCTTAGGGAGAACGTCTTCGATTTTTTTTTTCCACTTTCTATAATTTCCATTCATTCCTCATGTATGCGAGCGTTTTTTCCTTACAATTTGGCATAGTTTTAGCTGCATTCAGCCTGTCTGTCTATCTGGCTTCGTTGTATTCGAAATTGTGATTATAGATTTTTACAAAGAAACTGCCCGATCTAAGGACATGATCATAAAAGAAATTTTACCCTAAAAAACTTTGAATTTGTCAAGCTTTGTCGTTAGTCACTTAATACGACCCAGCAGATGCCGGCCTAAAACTAAGCGAAATTACGTAAACACCATAAAGCTTATTATTTGAATAGAATGGTATTTTATTTACACACTTATACATACGCAAGCCCAATAATAGAAAAAAATACTTCACACAAATTTTTCTGGAAATTTTTTTGAGAAAAAAGTTTTCTCGCATATATTTCTTAACACGAAATACCTAACATTGGGATCTCAAAAATTTGCTTTTATGTATATAACAACGCGGTCTCATGTCTTAGAGTTACACCTTAATTGAATTATTAATGAAAACTAACCTAGTCCGTAAAACCGAACGAAAAGAAAACAAGTTAGAAAATCATATTCGGTCATGAACGAATCTTTTATACCTATCAGCGGAAAAAATATAAATATGCCTACTCCATAATATTGGATGGGCATGGCTGATTTCTTCTATCTTTACAGAATAATTTTGTGGAAATTTTGTACCCCGTATCTGTTATAGTTTGTGAGCAACGAATAAACGGCACGAAAAGCAAAGGTGTTCACGGACCCGCCTTGTAGGCATGTTCTTTGACCTGTTTGGGTTAAATACTTTTGCAAATTTGTAGGGGAGAATATTTATCATAGTTATCATAATAGTCGGACAGACGAACATGCTTAGGTGTATTTTGAAATTGAAACTGTTTAGGAATTTATATACTTTAGGGGGTTTTTGAAGCTTGCTCCCTTGCATTGTAAAGGTATTGAAAAAAGCAATTAAATTTTGATATACTCGTAGGCGTGATCAATTTTTCCCATTTCCCTACAGATACCTAGAGAGTATTTTTGCAAATTTATCTTTTTTAGTTTATGAGTAATGGGCAAAAAAACAATTTTTTTTTCCTTTTCGAAACCAGAGCTGTTCTCAGCTTACGTGGTACGTGATGATAGGCGTGTCCTTCATTTGATTTGACCCCTTTTGAATAACATCTTCAAATTTGTAGTAGATGGCTTTAATTTTTTTTTACAACAGACCTTTTGCAGACGGACAGACGGACAGACGGACACGCTTAAGTCGATTCGGAATTTTATATATATATATATATATATATATATATATGGCGTGGTTCATGAAGCTTCCTTCTGGGCGCTGCAAACGTTTTGAAGAAACTTCTCGTCCTTTAGTCATGCGTACAATTAGTTAATTAATTCGCTCAGATCGAATATGCTTGTAGTTACCGTTAACTGTTGTTTAAATATGAATAAAATAAAATCTTTTTTATCAACATGAAACGAAGACGCATTTGCTCGATACGCATCGCATATTGTGAAACGATATTTTCAGGCAATTTAATAACACTTCATAGATATGTAGGAAATAAATTTGAAAAACACTCTTATAGATTCCGTTTTAATTATGCGGCTTTTTCATGGCAGTTGTAGATAAACCAAACTTAAAATCCAACTATGCATTTCTAGCCAATACATAAATATAGAAAGACAGACAGATAGTTAAACCCTTTGTACGATTGGTACAATTTCCGACGCATAATATCACACGTTACAAACATTTGAAAAACCCAACATAACCTTTGCGATGGGTATCGGAGAAAAAAGAAGAAAAAAACATTTGTCTGCTGCTGCAGTCACTTCTTATAAGCAGAGATCGAAGACTATTATAAATAATAATTGACAGCAAAGAGTTAAAGGCGGGCGTTTAGAGATAAATAAAAAACACATTTTGCTTATGTAAATGTGTAAATGGGTAAGTGAACGTGAAACGGTAATATAGTACAACGAAGAAACATAGTAACCAGTTTTTTTGTTTTTTTTGTTTTTTTTGCTTTTTTCTTTATTATTACATATTTATATTATAAGTAAACAAATATGCTTTAATGGGTATGTTTTGATAGCTTATGTGATAATTTTTGTTATTGTTTTGAATAAAAATCAGAAATTTAGAATTGAAGCCGTCTCGTAAGCTTTATTTGCTTAATAGTAATTGTAAATAGAAAATCTAAGCCAAGAAGCGTAAGAAAAACCATATGTTGTTCGAGAAAACAGATCTAATGTTTAAGCTAAAAATGTTTTCTTTTTCAATAATTATAAGTAAATTTGTATTGATCATTTTTATGAATACGTTTATGTATATATCGATCAATTTCAGAGTATAAAATCCCCGTACAAGCCGCTATTAGGCCATCATTTCGTCGACAGCCATTAAACAAAACATTTAGTAAAATAAAAAAAAATAAAAATAAAAAAAAAATAAAAAAAAAAAGAAAGAAAGGAAATAAAAAATTAAATAAAAATTTGCAAAAAAGAAAAACAAATTTGTTTTTTGTTTCTGTTTTTCTTTGCAATGATCCGATCCCTCTCGTCAAGAGGCCTTCGCTCTCCGTCTGCGTTTTGAAGGAGTACAAACTGAAAACAACTCTGCCATAAATTGTAAATAAATAATTTAAGTGAATGCATGGGTTTTAAAGACAATAACAAGAAAAGCAAGTGAAGTGAGCATAAAGTAATAAAAGCGCTAAAATTCAAAATATGCGGTTTAGTTCCTCAACGTAAATTCAACTAGTCAAACGAAAACCTGAAACCAAAGTGGACACACGTTACTCGTGTTGAGCAACAATTTGACATTTACACCCAAGATTTTCTTATAAAAGAAAAGAATATATACATTGTATATATTATATGTATATAATCGAGATAAAAAAAAGTAACGCAAGAAAGTAAACACAAAAGAAAATATTAAAGTAAATTTTTTAAATAATTTACAAAATATTTATTAAGTTTAATAAAGATTGTTGTGTTAGTGTTATTACGTTTGCCTTGAAATAGGAAAGTTGTCTAGCTGTGCGCGCTTAAGTGAAAATGTTAATAAATCCGTTAAACTGGTTTACAGGGTGGCTGACAATTGCACTTTTGCAAGGCAATCTCCCTGCATTGAATACTGTCCAAGCCTTACCAATTGATAACTTGGAAAATCCGATAAAACAATTACAACTAAATCTCGATATCGTCAGCCAACAATTAAAACAGATTGCAAAAGAAACTGAGGCATGCAAGCATGCATCTAATTCAACAGGCCTTAATAAGACCGCCGATCACAATATAACCGATATAACTCAATTGCTGGAAAACACTATTTCCTTAGATCGAAATATATCACATTTAGATGAGGAGAAAGGAAACTTGTCAAGTTCTTCTAAAAATCAATCGTCCAACTATCCGGCAAATGAGGAAAATGTGATAAGAAACATAAGATCAGCAAATGCTAAACAACACCATACAAATGCAACAGCATCGCTTGCAAAATCTAAGAAAAGAGAAGAATCTTTCGTTGCTTCCGCGACGAACGAAAATGTCCCAAATGCAACGGATGAAACTAATCAAAATGATCGTCAAATTGATAACTTTGCCAGTTTTACTCGAACCGATCCCGCATATGCTGGAGCAGATCGTCAAAGTTTATACAGTAACGCGGAAGCAGCGTATACGATAAGTGAAAATGCAAATAGATTTGAAGAGACCCATATGTCGCTCATCGACAAACCGATGCAAATTTCTGGAAATCAGCAAACCTCAACGGGAAACACACAAGCAAGTAATGTTATTCATCGATCGCATCATAATGTATCGTTTAGTAGGCCCCAAAAAGTTTATAGCAGTTTAGATGACTTCGAAAATAATACTGAGACAAATGGAATTGAATCGTTCAATGCGCAAGAAGAAAGATCCAGTTATGACAGTTTCGAACAATCGGATCCTTTAAGGCTTGCTATCAATCAAACGCGAAATCTAAATGCAACAAATGCCACTGGCGTCACAAAGTCAACTCTCTCGTCTAAACCTTGCCATGCTGCCAGCAGTGATGAAAATATGTCAATAAGTAGTGAAATAAAACAACAAAATTTAACTAGAATCGAGAGAGCAATAAATGAAACATTAGCGTCGAACGTAAATGCATCACTTGAGATTTCTCAAAAGACCAACAATGATAGTGGACCGCTAAACGCATCAAATGTAACACGTACCGACAATGAAACTACAACGCCAGCTAACTTAGATGGCGATAGCTATTCGACATTGAACTCGAATCAATTGAAGAACTTTATTATATCTAGTCAAAGCAAATGTGCGACCGAACAGATTGTAACAGTTCAAGAGCCACTCGGTGACGCTAATTTTCAAGAAACTGATCTCTTAGGTTTTCTGTTAAATCAAACATTAAATGCAACAAATTCGAGGCGCAATCCGGGACCGTATCATAAGACTTTGCCACTTCCGCCGAGAAAAAGGAATGATAATTACGACGAAGATGATGTAGAAGAATCCGAGAGCGAAATCGACGCTAGTAAGGAAGCAAATGTTGCCGAAAATGCCGAAAATGCCGAAAATGCCGAAAAATCAACCGCAACAGATACATGGGAAGAGAAACCATCGAGCAAAAGTGTTGAAAACGACGATTCCGAGAGTTCGACAGAAAGTGTTGGAACAATTGGACAAAATTTGACTGCCAACACTGTAGCAAATGTCACCGATGTAACAGATGTTAATATGTCAAATAATGACTCTGAGGAAACGCGCAGCGACATCAGTGATGAGAATTTGGACGAAAATACAACCGAGCAACAGAATTCCGCCCCGAATACTGAGTTAATAAGCAATGCAACTGATTCAAATACGACCTATGTCACCAATGGCACCAAGGCATCGCTAAACGAATCCGTTTCACATTCTTCTATCAATATCACAGCCAACGAACAAAATTCAACTACGAACTTGGAAGCAATTGACGACAGTCCAGAACATCTAAATACCGTCAATTATGCAGGATTTGAAGAAATGAGTCTCTTTGAGTTTTTAGTAACCCAATTAACTAAAAATTTGACAGCAAAACATGCGAAAAATGCAAGTCATGCTGCAAGCCTAGCTACATCTGCCAATTTAAAAACGAAAACTGCAAATACAGAAAATGTAGCGACAACATCTTTCAATGAATCTCAGGCACATGATACCACCAATTTGACATTAGAAACTAAACCGTCAATAGATGACGTGGCATCAAAAATTGAGGAACAGCAAAATGAACCGGTGACACTTTACGATGTTGCCGCTTTTCGCGAAGATAAACCCAACAACGTAATTTCTACGGGAATTGAACAAAATTCAACTGTAAAACCAGCAGCAATTAATGCGAGCAAAAGTGGATCACACATTGCTTCCAGTTTTGCGGAAAATGAGCCGGTAACTGCTTTATCAAAACAAGAAAATTTAAATCTAACTGCAAGAGCAACGGAAAGTCCAAACTCTTCTACACTCACTGTAGGCTCACAACAATTATTTAACAGTGATGAAGACGAAGCAGGGGGTAAGGTGAACATAGATGATGAGACTCGAAAAGTGAACGATTACACTAGTTTTAGAGAAATGGAAGTTTTAAAGAATTTGGTAAATGATATAGTGAAGAATTTAGGATCGAAAGACAATTCAACAAACATGAAACATTCGGCTAAGAAAACAAACATGACACATTTAGCGAATAACAAAAACGAAACATTAAAGGCATTGGATGGAACTCTGCCAGGAAAAGCGGGCCAAGCAGGTGCAGGTAACATTACAAAGGGACCTAAAGGACTTGTCGAGACTGATACTGACGATGAAATCGCGGGAGTATTCAAACTTAACAAAATCAAGCCAGTTATTGCGTCAAATCAACAAGCAACAAACTCAACACCTGACACAAATCAAACTGCATCGCTGAATGCATCCTATACGACAAACGTAACTAATACGACAAGTGAAAGTGTAGCAGCATCAAATACCTCAAGCGTGCTCGGCGAAACTATGGAAATAGCAAATGCCACAAATCCAACCAACGAAACCACAGCAACAGAAGACGCAATAGGGTCGGCTAACAAAAGTGTAGTTGCAGAAAATGCTCCTGGGCCAAGAAACGAAAGTGTAGCAACAGCAGATGAAACAGAATCGGCCAACAACAATAATGTAATAATTGAAAATGCTCCAGAGTCAGGAAACAAGAGCCTAGCAATAGAAAATGCCACAGATCCAACCAACGAAAGTACAGCAACAGAAGATGCAACAGGATCGGCCAACAAAAGTGCAACAGCAGAGAGTGCTTCAGAATCAAGAAACGAAACTGTAGCAACGGAAAGTGAAACAGAAGCGACCACAGGTAGTGTAGCAACGCAAAACATAACAAATCCTGCAGCAAACGCAACAAGCGGAACCAGTGAAAGCGTACAGCAAGCAAATACAACGGACGTGGCCAACGAGACTATGTCCACAGCAAATAAAACAAACTCTAATAACGAAACTGTCAATGCGTCAGATTCAATCGAAAGCGAAAGTATAATGGCAGCAAATGCAGCAAACTCAGCAAATGAAACAATTGGGAATAAAGTCAGCGAACTCGCAGCAATTCCAACAAACGTTAGCAAAGATATAGCGCCAGCAACAAACGCAATCGTCGAAAGTGTCCCGATTGCTGAATCCCAGACAATTCAGAGTTTTGCAAGTTTTGCAGAAAATAACCCAATAACCACTTTTGTAACTCAAGCCGTTAAAAATGAAACAAATGCGATAAACGAAACTGTACTATGTGATAGTCCTCAAGAAGCCCTCAAGCCAAAGTGTGTTGCAGCAGATCAACAAAATTTCACTCAAAATACGGAAATGATAAACGTAAACAGCACGAGTAAGGAAACTTGCTCGTGTAGTGCACATCACAACAAAGTTTCTCCCATAAGAAGCTTTGTTGAAAAAGAATCTTTCGCTACCTTGAAAAATCCAAGTGTTGACGTAGAAGAGACGTTGGCATTTGGAGAATTGAAAAGAAACCAGGAAACTCATCATAAGGATATTCTTGTAGAGGAAAATAATGCAAACAATCATTCAATTGCCGCTCGATTAGGCGACCTTCAAAACTCGACTACCAACAAAACTGATATGCTGTCAAACGTGCCTTACGATACCTCGAAAATCGCTGAAGATGTTACAATAGACAGTTCTACATACCTACCCATTTCAGTTACTAGCGAAGAAGCACTACATTCACTGCGTACCTCCACAAAAAACCAATCCAGTGAGGCCTCTGCGACAAGTACCCTCGCAGCAAAGCCAACAACTTCAGACAATCAAACCAAACCACTTAACGGCACTGAAGAGGCGAAAATCAGCGAAAATTTAAAACTAACTGCTTTTCAAACTAATTCATCGGCAGAGGAATATCATGTACATGATGCAAGCTCGTCTTCAAATGGCTTTCGTAGTTTTGCTCAAAACGAACGACGTTTCGCTGAAAAGACAAAAGCGACCAATGCAACTGCGCACAACATGCACGTTAGTATGAAAATAGGTCGTAGACCACAGGGCGAGCAAATTCCCTCGGAAAGTTTCCGATTTAAAGCTGACAGCGACTTTTATCGAGCACCACATTTTCTCTATATGGATCAAGCAATAAAAACAGCGAAAAATCCTTTAGCAAATGCCAGCACAATACACGCGAAGGAAGAAGAAACAAATGCAACACTTCTCATTAAAAACGTGACCAACAGTTGTTGTCATGCAAATTGTAGTTCGACTATGGGATGCGAAAATTTAAAGGTCGAAGAACTTTTAAATACTACGGACCAAATAAACATGACTAGCAGCGCGACTGAAACTGCAAGCTTGACAAGTTCCTTATCGGGTAAGAATTTAGTATCATTTTGCAAATATTGAAAAAAATTTCAGGAATTTTTCTTAATGTTAACAGAAGCTTCGAACGACACCGTTCAAGTCAAACAAGCTGCCGAAAAGACTTTTGTGGAAGAGGCTGAATCGATGGGAGATAAGCTCTCAGCCATGGACCAAAACACGCAAGATTTGAAAGAAAATTCCCGACCGGAAAGTTCGTCGGCGTTGCATAATATCGAATTCTTGAAGATAGCACAAAATCTTGCCTATGAATTTGCTAGAGGCGAAAATCAAATAACCGAAGAAGAGTTTGGAAGAGTAGCGAAATTTCAAGACGATGAGGAAGGCGAGTTCAGTGTCGATGAAGACACGAAGAGTATAACCGATGAAGATGGTCGTGAATCACGCACTCTTGAAGATGAAAGCGACTATACATCTGGCCAAGTAGCCGTCGAATTAAGCGCAGATGTTGAGGAAACTACTACCATAGATGCTGCGGAATCGATTGAGCCCGAAGAATCCATGTACAGGGAACGTGCTCCACGTAAGCTAAAACATCATCGCAATTTAGATGGTGTCGAAATGTTCTACGGATACTCAAGCGTTAAACATAATTAAACATTATTGAGCGTTTCCTTGCAAGAAGAGCTAAAGACTCTCTTATAAATCACATTATATTATATAAGTATATATACTTAATTAAAATTTTCATTTCTTTTCTTTTTGTTTTCAAATTAAACAAACTATGTGATAAAAATATAAAATAAAGTGACAGATTTTATAGAACATCCCTGCTTTAATTTATATCTACTGATTGGGTTGCTTTTCAGTTGATCGAGAACTAATAGCATTGTTAAGTGACGTTGAAGACAACGATCTAAATAATAATAAAAAATAAGTAAATTCCAAGTCTCAGAAGTACATATGTACTGGCATTTATACATGCATTCAATGATTAATAGAACATATATAGAAATATTCGATCCGACCCTTTACAGTGCAATCAGAGAATTCGAAAAGAGTTCATTATATGCCTTTAGTGGCCGAATGCCATTAGAGGATGTGTTTAAGCATCTGCAAATTATTTTTACACCCTACACCGGCCATGGTACAGGGTACATTTGTGCGGACACATGCTGCACGCAGGTAAACTTAATGCCAATCAAGAGAAAATCGTTTTCATAGTAAACCTATAAACAAAGGCTAAATTTCTCTCACACACCCATAGTTATTATTATAAATCGCATGAATAACATAAGTGCTTCTCAATTGTGATATTTTGAATGCTCAATATTTTATAGACAACCTAAATACTGCACATGAGTTAGAGCTAACGTTCGCTAAAATAATAGAAAAAAATGATTTTTTTAACTTTTTTAATTTTTTTTTTTTTTTTGTTTTTTGTCAAGTCAAGAATAAAAATGTAGTCAGTCCACATTTAGCGCAATCTTAATGAACGACAATATTTGATACGTATTAATAATGAACGTTGCACACACACCTATGCATAGCTTGAAAATCAAATTGTAACAAACGAATAAACGTTCACTGCTATGGATTTTTATTGACGCAAAAAAAAAAAAAACCAAAATTAAAGTAGGTTTATACATCTGACAATCGATCTTAAATATACCTTGCAGAGCGAAGAAATCTTCTAGACTATCTTTATAGAGGCTTAGTTACTTACTTCGAACTTATATATGATATGAATATGAGAAAGATTTCACAGATTTCAGATCTTTGTAAATCTAGTATGCTTGCATAAGTATTTCGAAAAGAATAGATTCTTGAAAGACTTCCAAGAAAAAAGTGATGACGCTTCGTTTTCAAAACCGATCTATGAAGATCAGAAAATATTTACAATCAATTTAGGTATAAAAATATATATGATAAGGGACATGTGTACGGTATGAAGAAATTCGGCGCTAACGTAACTTGAATTGCTTATAAGTGCATATAAATGTTGTACCAACATAAATATAATGACAACCTATAAAAAAAAAAAACGTCCTTGGTTACCGTAAAGCTAACATAACAAAAGTAAGTGAATCGCATAAATAAATAATTAAGCCAATCAAGTTCATTGGCTGACTAACGTGACGATCAAAGTTATTCATTAGAGCTAAAGGTCTTTTGATGCAGTAATCGAAAAATAAAAACGATATAACTGTCTGTCTGTTTGATCTAAAAGGCAAAGAATGACGATTTTATTTTCTCTCGCTTTCGCTACCAAGTGTCCTTATCTAACACTAAGGCAGTAACTCTCTTTGACCGGCTTCATAAGATCTTTTTGTTCTTTCAATCTCCACTATGAAGAGCTGATCAAGTTTTGCTCCGGGAACTTCTTTGGTTATTATTCATTCGATTCACCCGATCGATGTTGCATTGAAGTAACTATGAAACCTCCTCACTCAGGAAGGGCAGTAAATAAATATGATTTCAGATAATAATTTATTGTAAATATTTAATTTATGATAATTTTTTTTTTTTTATACCCATCACTGAAGGATGAAAGGCGTATTTCATGTTCGCAAAATGTTCGCAAGACCCAGAAGGGAGCATCAGAGGGCCCACAAAGTGTATACATTCTCAATTAGGGTTAAATTCTAAGTCAATTTAAGCATGTCCGTCTGTGGGTCGGTCCGTCTGTGCACTGACTATTGTAAACATTTATCTTCCCGCAAAAATTGAAGCAGTCGACTTCAAATTTGGCAGAAAAATTGGAAATTATTGCACGCAGGTTGATAGGCAAAATGGGCCAAATAGGTCATAGTAGACGGCCACAATACCTCGTAAACTGAGAACACCTCTGTTGTTGTGATCATTGCCCATCAGCTATAGCAGATAAATCTACAAGAATTTAAAAGCATATCCTATAGGTGATGCTGTGGCACCTGTAAAAAAATGGAGAAAATGGACCACGCCTTCTCAATATAATAGTATATCAAAGTTTTAGATTTTTTTCAATAGGTTTCTAACGAGCAGTAACCAGCTTCAAACACCCCTTAAAGTTTATAAATACTTGGCCAATATCAAATGCGGAATGCACTTAAACATGTCCGTCTGTTCGTCTGTCATCTGTCCACTGTCATCTGTGCAACTATCTAGCATTTAAGGTAAACGTTCTTAAGCGAAAATGAAGATATCGCCTACAAATTTGCAACAGAATTTAGAAGTAACTTAAGCTTTTTCAAGTAAAAAAGATTTTTTTTTTTATAAATTTTTCTTTTCTTTCAACGCTAAAGTGACGGTGCTTAACATTCGACTCTTCTTCACTGTTAAGAGCATACTGCTGCAAGGAAAAGCTTAAAGGTTTTTTAAAGAATTTTAGATTAGTTTCCTTATGATAATTTTATTAAATTTTTATTCCTATAAATTATTTTTCACATACGTTTATAGCACTGTAAGATAATTATACTTGTTAAACTTCATCTGTCTCTGCTGGTGTAAAACTCATACGCTTAACGCAAGTGTGTGTAATAAAGCTTTGGCCAATCGTTTGCCTCTCTCTCTCTGTCTCTCTCTCTTTTGTAAGCCTCATTGACTGGTGCGGATATTTTCGCAGATGCAAAGCTAGAGAGAAATAAAACATGACTAACATATTCTGCATTAAATGCTTTCGCAAGTTCTAATTAATCGACTCCCTAATGAAACTGAATAAAGCATATGCTTATTTGTTGAACAACTTATATTTTTTGTTACTACATATATTGTTATTATTATTTTTAATTAAAAACAAGCAAAAGATACTTACGGCCACATTGCGCGAAGTCTAGCACATATTCTCCACCTAAGGCGTATACACGATAAAGAACTAAGCCATGTCTTCGTTCGAACTGAAAATGTTTGTTTACTTGTTTGTAAGAAATAGGATATAACACATTCAAGTAAGATTATATAGTTAACTTGCTTCATGGCTGTTGAACTGTATTTGAAAATTAAAGTTTAAAAAAATTCTTTATACGGAAATACTTTACGATTTTTATTATTTAAGATTTTTTTTCGTGTTTTTAAAAGCAAGGAGCGTATGATTTATTATTGAAATAAATCTCTGACTATTAATCAATAATGTGCAGAATTCCACCTTTTTACGACCTGAACTGTTCTTAAGCAGATTTTGAGTAGAGTGAGAAACTTGACCGCATCGATACAATATCTTTCCTGTGCGAAAAAAAACTAATGAATTTCAATTGCCTAAAGCGGTAGATGCAATAAATGCCGTAAAAAGTTTATTTGCTTTGAGCGCATCTAGACTAACGCCTATTCAAATATATAAACAAAAAAAATACTGAATGAAAAATTATCGCAAAAATATATTGCGATAATCCGCACGAGTAGCTGAGTAGCTAAACGTTTACGACTAACAAGAAAGCCGAAAAAAAATTAAACCTCAAATGCATGCAAATCGAAAAAACAAAGGCTCAGCAGAAAACTTACACCAATTACTTCATAGAAGAAATACAAGAATTACAAGAAGTTTTGAATTTTTTTCGTTATCAATAAAACCTACACCAATTATTTCATAGAGCGATATAAAAAATTTTGAGTTTTCAATATGGGGATGAGTTTATAATTTATATTAACCGTTAGCCTTTAAATCCATACTTTATAAGTTTATTTAGAAAATATATAGAACATAAACAAATACATGTATGTTGCAATTACTACAATTTAACAATGCTGCAGCCGTCTCAATGAAACTGTGTTTTACGGGCTGTCAAAATATGTTTTTCCTAAACGAATGAATACGAAAGTGAAAGCTACCTTTCAGTTGCCTGATTACCCCTAATTTGATTGTAAAACTTTATATGAAGTTGACCATATAATCATACAAAGAGAATACTTTGCATAATGTGCGATGCGTTCATTGTATTCAGTACTTTATTGATGAACAACAAAGAGAATACATTGTTTCGCATATACAATCTCTCGTATTGAACCCCACCTATCTTTCAATGAAACGAAACGTTTATTAACATTTTACAATCCTTGACGGTACGTTTATAAGCAATGCCTAAAACTATGCATGACTCTCGTGATAACACAGAGCTAAAAGGCAAGCTTTTAAAGAGCGAAATTTACAACAATTCCAAGTTGCCAACGTAGAATGGTGCGTTATATTTAAATGGAATTTGGACTTGCAGGAAATGTGGAAAAACGGTTACATAATAATAAAACACTATATACAAACTGAAATTAGCTAAGTGTGTCAGAGGGGCAACGTCGTAAGACTGCATTCCTCTTGCCACTAATGGTCATACAAAACAAAACGATAAACAATTTATATCTGCGGCGGTCCGAATTGTGGACTTAAACGAGCGCCAGTCTTTCAAGAAAGATTGTGCTAAACTTTGCGTCTTGAGTGATATCCTCTTACTCTTACAAATTGATATATATACTTGTCTTGTTATATATAATTTTTAAATACATCTTTAAAAAATCCTTACTTTCCCGTAAACAATTATTTATATATCGCCATAAATATGCGGTTCATTCAATGTTTTCTTCAAAATAATCCAAATTTCATTCTATTTTAAGCAATGTCAACTTTCTGGGCTGTAAATATATTTATAACACATATATATATATATATAATCCATATGATTTTTATATACTATCACCATCCGAACGAAATGCGTCAAAATTTCATATCTTCCGACTATTAGCTTACAAGCTATAATTCGTTGAGTGATGCTACGCAGGACATTCATATTTTCCATTGTTTTGCACAAAAGACGTAGCATCAATAGTGATCCTACATCATCATCTTACGTCATATATCGTGTGTGTGTTGCAAACATATGCAGGTGTCCCTTGCTTAACACGGAAATTGTCAAACACGGTTTTGATATAACACGGTAGAAAATTGTTGAATATTATAACACGGCTTCGGGACAAAACGATTTCAAACAATCGAATAAGTGCGTTTTTTGAATTAATTCGAAAATGAATTCTGTTCTATCGTTAATAATAGAAGTTTCAACCAAAACGCACTTTGAAAAACTACAAATAGATATTTTCATTTTCTGTGATTTATCATAGTGTTGCATTTCATATTTTTTCTTTTTCATGAAAGCTTTACTTACTTTTGCATCCTCATGTACGTTAGGAACGAAATTTCGTATTAAAATTTTCATCATAATGTTTCATACCTTAACACTTCGTTTCGATACTACACGGTACACATTGCATTGACTTGTCATTATTTCAAGCTATCTTATGCAATAATAAAAATGTAATAATAAATTTTCGACGCAACACCATGCACTTGTTTTTTATTTGTATTATGTCCAAGTTGAAATTATGTTATCCTATATGATAAAGGCATTTATTGAAAAAAATTGGTAAAATATATATTAATCAAAATATTTTCCATCATTTTGTACATCATTTTACTAAAACTTTAGCCACATGGCGATATCATGTCGGAAGAACTTGTATGGGTTAGGCAACATCGACCCATCTTCGCATTTTTTCAACTTTGCGGAATTACGTACCAGCCGTGCTATGCTGCATCGATCAGAACAAGTGTTATTCAGAAGGCACCGTGTCTGTGTGCGTTGAGTGTGGCAGAATTTTCTATTTAAGCTGCAACAGTGTATCCTTGACATCTTTTGCAACAAGTGGCCAAAAAATGACATTTTCAGTCAATTCGTGTCGAAACTTTTAAACCGTCGGAACTAAAACCGACAATTGGGATATGATGAAGCAGCATGACCATAACGTATTTGGTGGACTGTAGCATCAGATTTCTTCAAATGTAATTTCGGGCGCTCTTTGCGGTTAGCGTCTGCATGCACCGAATAAATCAATAGGAATGCAAGATCAAAATTTAACAGTTATGTGCACTAATACTTCCCGCATTATAATTTTAGCAAAGCGAGATCCCTTCAAGCCGTCTAGAGCAATTTTCAACGAAATTGGGAATGTTGTGTAGCTCGGAAGGCTCCCTTACTCAGGGAAATTAATTTGGAGAAGAGGACAGATTTTGCTTTAGCCCACAAAATACACAAACTCTGGAAACTGTAATGTTACGGCATTCCAAATGAAATAAGCCCCTGCTATGGAAATTGCACTAGGATTGTGGTCCAATTTAGTGAAAGCGTGTTTCCGAGAATATAACTTGAATGTCACTGAATGCCCAAGTCAGTCTGCTCGTCTCAATCCTATTGAGAATGTTTAGGGAGGACTAAAGCGCCTTGTGTCTCGTAGTAATAAAACAGAATTGTGGTAATGTATTCAAAAAGTATGGTATAATTTCCCAGTAGAGATCTGCGATAATGATTCTCATCCATGGCTACAAAAAAAGAAGCTGTCCTTAAAAACCATAATGAATATACGGGCTATTGACTGTTTCAATTGGGGTCTATAAAAATGATTGCCTCTGAGTACTGAATATTTTGCATTATGTTTCCGGCTCCATATATACACCTATTTAGCAATGGGATCCTATCAGAACAACGAAAATTTTCGTTTTAAAATAACCGGTTAAAAGCAAAATCTTATAATTCAGATACCGTTCAAGACTGAACAGCCATGTATAGATATTAAGGAACAAGTTCGGATTAAGAACATTTTAGCAAAGTGGTCTATTAAGTACCCCACCACTCTAACCTACACCTTCGCCCAATACATTTATTCACATTTATGCTAATACAACATCAAGACTTGCACATTATTTCGTGCATTGCCATGAAACGAGAAATCGTTTCATGCGGTGGTACTCAACACATAGACGGGTACGGGATCCATATTCAGTAAAATTGATTTCTACGTCAATTTACCATTTTGAACTAACTTTTAGCATAAAATATTAAAAAATCATAATCTTTTACTATACACAGATTCGCTTTTGGCAGCAACATGTACGTGAAAGAGTGCTCACAAAATTGCCCCAACCGAATCAAATTTTTCGTACCAACTTAGAATGTGCAAATATTACTTCAGAGCATGTTTTGTCGAGAAACTTTAAAAATTGCCATTTTTTTCCATATAAGGACTTCGAAAATAGGGTTTTATATGAGGAGAGATCGACAAAGTGGACCAAACCAAACTATCTCCAATACCGTTCGCCCATAAACCAAATTCCACAGAAATATCTTAAAAATTGCGACTTGCAAACTTACATGGACGGGCATAACACAGACAGACGAGCTTAGATCGATTAAAAAGTGGATTCTGATCGGTATAATAAAAGATAGATCTATCTGAAGCCCTTACGCATGTTATATGCGTCCCCATCGGCTTAATACACCCTGTACCACAAGCTGTGTGTAAGTTATAATAAACCCACGTTACAAATTTTAATTCAACGCATCCTGTATCATAAATGGTGTAAAGTGTAATAACCCCAGTTTACAAATTTTAATTTAAAGTTAACCCTTTATTTTATACTCGTGATATAAAAATCAAGTAATTATTTCTTTTATATTTCCTATTGCTTTAGCCCAAATTTTATAACAGAGCAGAACAACTGGTAAAAAAGCAACAAGAATAAAAAAAAATCCAGTTTTTAAAACCGTTACTTTTTGTATGCAGTATAATATTTAAGGTATTAAACTTTAATATTTAACAAATATTTGTTGAACAATTAAAAACAATTGAACTTATTTTTTCGTTTTAACCAGTAATTTATGAATAATATGCAAACATTTCAAGTTTCTTCTCAATTATATAGAGAAAGTGAAGATTCTGACTGCAAGCAAAATTTAAGTATAAAAGCCGGGACGCTCAAGAGTTTGTTAAGCAGTTTTCAGTAACGCAAATCAAACAAAGTCAAAATGAAATTCTTAGCTGTCGCTTGTTTCTTACTTGTCGCCGTTGTCGCTATCAGCGCTGACCAACATGACTACGATCATGGTCATCATGATAGTGGACATGGACATTATGAACATCATGGCCATGACAGTGGACACGCCAGCCACGGCACTCAACACGATAGCCATGGTCAAGGCAATGAAGAAAGCCGTCAATACGGCGGCCACCATGGCCACCACGGCCACCACGGCCACCAGGGCCACCATCAGGGTCACCACGAACATTACCACGGTCATCATCATCACAGCCATTACTATTAAACGTGCAAAGATTAATAATTCGTCAAAATGTCTTATCGCTGGCGTTCAAGGAGATGAATACTAACTGATTTCTATTGTACTAAATAAATAAAAAAACGTTTCATAAATCTATTGTAAAATATTTACAAAATAATAAAAAAAAATTAAATTAGCAAAAATAATTGGAATTTTTATTACTCTATCTATACTCCTTACTCGTAGGTAGGCAACTAATTCCCAATTCTTCCCAGTTTTTTATTTCAACTTTTTACTTATTGTCGAACAATGGTGCTGTGCTTAGAGTTTCTTCATTATAGACTTTGTTTAATACTTGGAGCAATTTTTCCGTCTTGGGCTGCATCGGAAGTTGTCAACAAAGGCATTTACATATAAACTATTGAAGGATGACTTGCACTTCCCAGTCATACAATTCAGCGCCTATCAAACTTTATATATGTCATACACTAAGCGAATAGCGACTAGCGCGAAATTTAAACGAATTTGTCGGTGGCCATCAAGGCACTTTAATCTTACATTAGAATTGCTTAGCAAAGCAATTTAAATTTTCTATTACACAAACTCTACCCCTATTATTAACAAGTGATTTTTATATTTTCGCATGAGTTAGTTTGTATTAAGGATTTTCCTATAAACGAATTCTATGGTTTTGCATGTTTTTTAATAAAAACACTGTTGAGGGACACGTCCTACAGCTATTCACATAGTGGCTTTTCGAAATAAGGCTTTATATGGCAAGTGTTTCAATCCAAAGCGTTTTCAACAAAGTTCGTCCTTGGGGCACAGTGTACCCACAGTGTTGATGGAAATTTTTCAAAAATTGCGACCTGCAGGTTGAAGACAAAAAAACAAAATGAACGGACGGACAGACAGACAGAGAGACAGGCGGCGTAGTGATTATCTGAATGGATGGGTGCAGTAAAATGCGTGTCTATCTCAAACACTTCTTGATATTGCAAACATCCGCACAAACAAGGACATTTATTTTAAGATGGAGAAAAAGTTTTTTCCTGTGTCACTACGCTCGGGATCCTTAAGATTTTATTGCATACTTAATATGCGAAAATTCATTTCAATTCCTTTGCAAACGCCACCAAGTTTTATGCATAGTCACATGAAAATGACTCGGAGAAATATATATCTTTCACGCTTCTATTCATGTAAATCTATATAACACATTTTTTACATTTTAATCCATTACTCACATTATATACATTCTCTTTTCTTAATGCTTTTCCTTTCACACCCATATCGAAAGGATTGTCAAGGAAAAGATAATCCGCTACCTCGGCCTGAGACGTAAGCAAACTAAAAAAAAAAAAAAACTTAGAACACTACTTCTTTTTGCATTAGCAGAGTAGTTTTTCTATTTGCAAAACTAAATCCAAGCCAAAGTAAAAAGGGATTGCACAAGCTGCACCACACTTCAATCTTTGGATATACGCAACATTATGCCTAATCAAAGGACAATTTGTCAAACGATTTTTGCTCTAAAGTTTTATGTTATATCTTAAAAGAAAATATCACGTGGCTTGCAAAACATTCCTGCAGTGCATGACTGTACGAATAAAGCTGGTAACGCCAACTAGCATTTCCGTTCGTCATCAAAACTAATGGGTCCAAAGCCACATCAACCTTAATAAGTGATTAGATTTGAAAGCAATTAAGGAAAAAACCCTGAAATCAGTAAAAACCAACTTGTAAGATTTCTTATATTTTGTATATTTAGTTAAATATCACATACAGTTTGTCTTTTCACTTTTTTTTTGCTGATGTATGCTCATTTGCTATTAATGCCCTAGTGGTTGTGGGTTATAACTTTGAGATAAGTGTGTTTATAGTTTGGCTGAAGTTGTATGTGTGTAGGTGAATTTTCGTCCGTGGAAATAAATAAACTAATAGATATGAGATGTCTTAACGCTTAATGCTTATGACTTCCGATTTTCACGAGTGTTTAATTTTAGAAAGCGACAGATGGAGATAAAGCCCAAGAAAATCATATCCATTACAAAGGCGACGATAAGATATTCTCCGTCTAAAGTCACGATTGGAATGTAATACATTTTCTCAGTACCCTTAACTTTATCAAAGAGTCCATTGGGACCATCTGTGCACCCACTTACACACAAATATATAAGAGATGCAATGCCGCTTGGTACTTGTTACAATATCTTCTTGTTGTTGCTATTATTAGCATTAATGCTGTCATGATTTGTTATTAATTAAATCAATCATAGTCTCACACTGATTAAGAATATATGTGAATCTCAAGTTCCTACATCTGGAATGACAGGTACACGTCCTACTCCTGCTGTGAGAAAAGAAAAAAAAAAAAAAATTAAATGCAGAATGTTATGGAATTATTTAATAGCGAATTTTATCTTGCTTATCTCGAAAAAGGTTGTTTGCCTTTTGAACCGGTTTGTAGTCATATATGTGTTAAAATGCATGTTTTATTACGAACCAGAAGATATACAAAATAAATTAAAACATATTTGGGGTATTAAGTAAGAATATCTTTACGCGCTTCGCATCGAATATTAAATACCCAACGTTGTAAATCCACCATAACGACTGGCAATATTTGAACAAAATGCAGATCGATATGCAGCATAAAAATCTCAAGAAAATACGATAAATATTTCAATATTTCGCCATTGTTTCAGTTTTTAAGCTTCAGTTCAGTTTCAAGCTTAACACCTTGGACTTGTTAATCATCATTTCTATTAAGAATGATTGTCGAATTGACTTTAGTCAATTTATACTAGCAAAAATGTTCACAGTTGATTATAGTTCTGAAAGGTATTTATTAGTATTATAAAACTGGTTCACTCATTTCCGAAATTAATCCATTCCTATTCTTTGAAAAATTTGTGAATAGATGATCTTAGTATTACTTTCACATCACTGCATTTACAATCACTACAGAATATTCAGCGCATTATGCAGTGCAGTTCAATCACAACCTATCTATTTGACATCCAGCAGCTTTAAAAAGCTTTCATCCGCACAATAAGATATATGTATATGCATCATGCATTCTTAATATGAATCGATATTGCTGTATCAGTTTGAAATAAAAGGAATATGAATATGAGAAGAAATATCAACATGAAAATGAATATGAACAAGAATATGAACTATGAAATATAAATATAAATATATATATGATGAATGTGAATAGATGTATAAATATGAGTATGAACATGAATACGACTATCAATATGAATATGAATATGACTATCTACTGAATATGAATATCTAATGAATATAAATATTAGTGTGAATATGAGCATGAATATTAATATGAATATGAGTATGAATATGATATGAATACGAATATGAATTCGACTATGAATATGATATGAATACGAATTCGACTATGAATATGAATATGACTATCTACTGAACATGAATATCTAATATATATGAATCTGAGTATCTAATGAATGTGAAAAGAACACAAATATAGATATGAATATGAATATAAATACGAACATAAATGCATATATTGAATTTGCACAAACAATCCGAAATTTTCGCACTATACATATTATTTATTAAGAAAAGGTGAAAAATATTATACAATATTGTTACACTATTTTTAGCGCATTCCTTATTCTCTTCAGTTAAAACTCGATGCACCGTTCAAATTTTCAGGTACAACACTTGTTGCGAAAGATGACAGTATTTATAAGCAACGCGTTCTCTTCACCACAATCGCTCGCTAATATGATCGACAAATGTATATTGTGCGAGAATTATCAACTTAATAATGCTAGTAAATGATATTCGTAAAGTCTTGTACATATGCAAATATTACATGATTTATCTGTCGCTTGGTCAAGGTGATAATTGATTAGTGAAGCATAGAGTTACTGTGTGAAGACTTCCACAAATGACTTCGATCTGCGTATAGTTAAAAATGGATTGGTTTATTATTATTTTAATAAATTCTAGAAATAAAATTTGGAATAAGTGTTTCTTTGGAAAAAAAAACAATCCCTAGACTCTCAAATATTATTTCTCGTTCACTTGTAATCTTTCGATTTGCAAAGAGCAATACAAAATAATCGAGTTAACTAATATCTTGTTTTGGGGATATTGAACTTTTGCCAAGCCAAAACATACGAAGACTGCAGCCATATACAAGAAGAATGCAACAGTTACAGGAAGTTAAGTGCAAAAAAGTCGAAAAAGAAAAAAGAAAAGAATACCAAATGAAAAGAAAATCTGCTCCAGCTCTACTGTTTGTCTTATGTTCAACAATATTGCATAGTGTCCATATGCTTTGTGTTGCAGACAGATGCATACGCATATATATAAAGAAAAGGAAGTCAATGTCAATGCTATTGCCATTCTACCCCCTGTGTTCTTTTCTGTCTGTTTATGCTGTAACAACGTTGAGCGTTGAGCACAATAAGCTTTACATTGTAATGTTTTTTTCCTTTTGTTTTCTTTGGTAATATTTCTGAAAATGAAAAGAAGAAAATAAATAAAGTTACTGTTATGTACGCTTTGATATGAAATGCATTTGCATGCAATGCATGCAACATGTGTTCCGTAAAGCGTTTTTGCTTTTCATACGTTTTTCATTCAGATGATGCTGAAGCAATCAACATGAAAACTCGCAGATTAAATATGCAAGCACAAGTTGCTGCAAGATAAATATAATCAAGGAAATGAGAAGAGAAGGAGGTTTACACAGTGATATATGAACTATTATATTTTTCATACACAGCAAGCATACGAGTATACTAAATAATAATGTTGCATTTGTAACAGTCACGAATTTCATATCATTCCCACCTGATACTTTATACATTATTCAGCCTTTGCCGTTACGCCGTTTATTCAGACTGAATAAATCTACGTAATTTATTTTTAATCGGGCGGAGATAAAAATTCGACTCAATCTTATTTGCCTGACTTTCTCAGAACCTTTTAAATTAGGACCACAGACTAGATTTGAAAACCATAATTAGTTTAAAGGCACAATTTACATACATACATTACTGAAGTACA